TAAAGTGGGCCAACAAGGAGTAGAACTACTCCGGGGCTCTTGCTTTTTGGCATGCTGCCAAACACAGGCGTGTCTCGCCGAATTAAGACCCGCACAGCACCATGTGTCTCAACTGCACCTCGGGAGCTCCGGGGGTCCGGCTACGGGAAACGAGGTCTCAGAAGCTGTCCCTCTTGGAGGTGAAGTGGCGTGGCCTTCTTCAGGCCGACGACCGACCGGGGGTCGTTCCATGAGGTTCCCAGATGCTCCATGCACCTGTCCTGGTTGGTCTTGGTTGTGATCTTTAAGTAAAGGGAACTTCCTTTTTACTTCAGCGCTTTCAAGCACCACAAGGTCGATTATTACGGTATGAATATGTCATTCCAATGTAGATTGCGGTATATATGTTATTCCAATGTAGATTGCAGTAGACATATATTCCATAATATTCCATAGAGTGTTTGGGGTTGTTTTCAGCTCGGCAACTGGGAAGTGGTCGCAGAATGGAAATGTTAACTCCCTGGAACGGATGTGTTCGCGACAAACTTGTATGGGTCCATTCAAGACCTTTTACACTTTACACATCTTTCCACTGGTTCCAGTAGATGGCACAATCCCCAACAGGTGGTTGATATTAACCCTATATCACAAAGAGTGCTTGGGGGCCAGTCTCCGATCTATTTCTTGAAACCGCTGTATGATGTCCTGATGTCCTATGCACGGCTTTTTGGGCACGCCATCAACGGGTGTGTCACCTGTAGCAACATGCAACTGGCCGTCTGGTCCGGTCCTATCCTCCTAGAAAAAACCAGTTCGAAAGAGCGTGCAGAAGTGAACAACGTAGTGCTTCGACTCGGTGGTCTGGCGGAAGTGTTTGAGAAGGGAAACGGAGTCGATGGCAACTCCATGGGAGTTGACGTGGAGTCGAGTCGACCTGATGAAGCACACCTTCAACATCCAAATGTTGGGTTATATCAATCAAGGGTCTACGTTACTATTCGCTCTTCACCTGGCTCTTCACCTGCCCAGGTGAAGCGCCATGGCCGAAGAAAGGCGGCAAAAGCTCGACTCTGGCGGCGGCGCGCGGACGAACGTGGGACGGGGACAGAAGAAAACAAGTTAGCAAGCGATCCTAGATGGAGGAATGCCGGGATGTTTGGCCATCTCATTAATCATGTACACTTCCTGGAATAACGTTGAGAAATGATCCCTTCAAATCACTTTAAAGACTAGAGATGTTGTGTATATTATAGTATATTATTTAAAATTATTGAACTATTATGCAATAGAACTGTGAGCTTGGTGCGTGCGCATGTATACCATTCCACCAGCTCTGTAAAGCACACAGGCCATCCTCATAATGACATCCTGGTGGGTCTCAAATGTTGTTGAAGCCACCTCCTAGCCCAATAGAGCATTTTAGAAGCTGCTGACATATGCAACACCACTACCGGCCCCCCTGGGCCTTCTTGGGAAGCCGCCCAACACCTGAAACCAAAGAGTTGGCTCTTCGCCGCTTCGGTCTTGCAGGTGCACAAAGGGTTGAACATGGAAGGTTCCGTCCCCAAAAGAAAGGGTTGCGGCATCAAAAATGCCACAACCTTTGAGAGGGGTCCTCCAAGCATCTCCAGGCAACCCATCCACATGCGAGGAGGATTGAAGTGAACATCCACCGGAGAGAGAGAGAGAGAGAGACGCTGCACGTGAAGGCCACCAGCCTGGCCTTGCTCCGCAGCGTGAAGAACGACGAGAGGATCCAGGCGGCAAAAAGGATCCGCCGAGTCGTCGAGTGACGACCGTTGTTGGGCCCGGGCCCTATAAGTCGAAGGTGGACCAAAAGGATCCTTTTCATCTTCGGACCCCAGGGCAATGTGAAGAATAGCTGAGAGCAGCCATCAGTCACCTTAGGTGAAGACGAAACAAACCGCACCCACTTCCGCACCGAACGCGCGGGACGTCCCTCGTGCGCGAGTGCAGCTCCGTGGTCTCCACCTATTTTCGATGTCCAACGATGGGAGGCGAAGCTCCTGGGCTTTCTGCAGGGCGAGGCCCAGCGGCTGAGGAGCGCCGCGCGGGCGCCCTGAGGTCGGCCTTCGGCGAGCGTCGGCCAACCGCATGCGCCGAGCGGGCGAGCGGGTGCATGGGGACGGCTAGGACTCGAGAGGTACGTGGAGAGGCGAATCACTGTACCAGGATCATGGAGGGAGGCCTTTCAAGGCGGATCCTGCTTTGCGAGGCACCAGCGTCGCAAAATGCATCCTCCAAGGCCTTGACCAACCTCTTGCAGCCCGTGGCCACTGAAGCCCTCGGCAAAGTGAGGCGTGTTGCGTGGTCGCATGTCAGACGTAGACGTTCCCGTCCGGCCTTCGAACATGCGCATGGCAGAAAAAGGTCTGTTGATGTCGAACCTCAGGGTCGACCAAGAAGGCCTTGCAAGACACGATTCCAAGCCTCGGGGAGTAGAAGCCTCGGGAAGGCCCACGCCGATTCAAGTTTCCACACGGTCTGGGGTGAAAGAATTTCGATGAGAATGCAGGCTTTTCCGTTGAATGGGGAGTCAACGCTCGAAACCACGACGGGAGTTGGAGCTCAAAAAATACATTGAAGGTCATTGATCTGCTAAGATCACTATAAGACTGATCTGTGTGGCATCGGAGCCACCCCCAACGGGTGTTTGGTGAACGGAGGTCCTCACAACGGAGTTCCTCAGACACTCCATATTTGTCATATATGTGTACATCGACCACCACCATGTAGGCAAACATGGTATACATGGTGTGTCTGGGATGGATAGGTTTCAGAGTTTGGGCGGAATCACATCCGTCACGAAGCGATGAATGTCATGTTTGGCCTTGGGAAACAGAAAGCCGCGGAGTGGTCGGGGTTCACCCACAGTCAGGACCTGTCAGGGAAACACTACCCCTTGAGCATCGAGTAAGAATACACTCCCTGAAATCATCATTGAAGCGGAACATGTCTTCTTCGATGTCAATTTTCCTCTACAAACAGCTGGTTTTCCACTTCCATGATCATTTCAGGGAAGTTGTAGGACGTGCGCCATCACGCGGAACTCGGGCTTCTCGCGGTCGCAGGGAGACCATCGAGGGCGAAATCGAAAGGCTGGAAGAGCAGGTGCTGAAATCGGGCCACCAGGGCGGGTGCATTGGATTTTGGTTTCTCATGAAGATCATGAAGTGGTGGGAATGAATGCCAATGACGGCCTGCCCAGTCAGTTGTTGACCCTTTTTTTTGGGAGGAGGATATTGTTTGCCTAAAGATGCGCCGGACAAAGACAAGCCTTTGCAACTCCAAAGTCTGGAGCTGCGCTCCTGGATCGGGGTCCCAGTGGCTGGGTGGAGCGATGTGAGTGGCATGCCCCACAGTCGGCATGTGCCGCTTGAAGCAGTTTGGTGAAAGGTAAGAGATGGTGAAACATGGCTCCCCAAGGATCTTTTTCCGGGCACACCACCAGCTTCCGTGCCCGGAACGCTTCGCTTCGACATGAACTCGGCCTGGAACGGCCTTGTGGAACGGAGCCGGATCGAAGCCAGCTTCGCCAGGACACCCAGGACACCGAGAAGCAGACCTGGTGCAGCTCCGAGTTGAAAAGCAACGAGAAGACCCGAAGGCCACTGGGTGCCCCGGTTCTCCCCGCCGGGGCGAAAACGCCCGGTCTTCCGACACGGCGAAAACGCCCCGGCGAACGGTCGGTGTCGCGAAGGTCCCGGTGCGTTTCACCGCCGGCGTGTCTTGGACGAACTGGTGCCAGGTCCAAGAGGGTGAAGGTGGATGAGCTGACTGCAGACATCGATCGGTTGAATGCCTGGGTGATCTCCTTGGGAGAGGCGGGGGTGGAGAGGTGGAGAGGGTCTCGCAGCCCCACGCCGGGGTGTTTGGGGGTTGAACCCAGAAGGCGATGTTGGCTCATGCACCGCTTGAAGAGGATCCGAACATCGGGGGGCAGGATCCGTCCAGACTTGGATGTCACATGTTTTCGGTCAAAGGCTTGCACAGCTCAACGATCCAACTTGGATCCATGTAAAATCTGCAGAAACGACCTTCGGTCTTCTTTCTGCGGTTTTGGAGGTCTTCTTCATGCAGGCACATGGTCTTCCATGGCCCAACATGGGACATGGACCAATGGACCAATTGAGTTCTTTGATCCACCCCATCCTGGTCGCTTCTCGCCTCTTCTCGCTTCGCAACTTGAGGATATCCAGAACCTGCAGGATGAGCTGACCGACTCGGCGAAGGCGAGAGGACGAGGACTGAGGTCCCACCTTAGAGGTCCAACCTTAGAGGCGTTTGGTGGGTGGGTCCTCAAAACATCTGGTGTTTGGACGGTTTCTCTTTTTGCTTTTGGTTTTGCACCGCGACACCGGCCTGCACTGCGGCACCGGCCTGCACCAGTAATCAAGGCCGAAAGCTTTTGGCCGTTTCTTATTTTTTATTTGGTGTTTGGACGGTTGAATTACAGTAGATTGAATTTGCATTTGACCACCACTTCTGAAGGGGCTCTTCTCAGAAAGAATTAATCATCCATGTCGAATGTCGAGGTTCACCGGGTAGGCCTTCATCGAGTTGCATTCAACTCTCAGACGTGCGGTGTGCCAGTAAACCTGCAAGAGTGGGTAAGAAAAGCTCTATGTTTGGAGAAAGAGTCTTGAGTCTTAACCATTATCATCCACTGGTCCTCTGGGACGTCTGGGAGCTGTATACCTAACTTCACACCCGTTTTTCGCACCAAACCGCTCGGTGGGCATGCCTTCCGTCGGTGCCTTCCGTCCCGAGACGTCGACCGGAGTGGAGTTGCGGAGCTGCTTGGCTCAAGAGATGTTCGTAGAAGCTGGGCTGCATCGAACTCGAGTAGAAAGTACTGTAGCTCAAACAGACCGCCCGGACTTCACTGGACCAAGATTCCGTTCCTTCCCGTGTCTCACGAAACGCGGCAGAAACCGACCATCTCTCACGGCAGGCGGCCAGAACCTGTCTCCCGCTCCGTGCCCCACGGCGCGTCCGCCATGGCGACACGCCGGCTGCCGGCGTTGCTGGGCTTGGCCTTGATGTCGCGTCAGCTGACGCAACGGAGACGGGTCCGAGGATGTGTTCGGTGTTAGGAGCAGACTTGGGACCGCAAAGTCGAACGAGGCTTGGACTCAGTGGGCTTTTGATTGGTTGAGCAATCTCGCAAGGATTGCAGAATTTCAGTTTCGAGCCCTCAGTTCTCTTCTGTAGGACCATATTTGGGCTGTGCGGACGGAGTCGAGGCAGTTTCCCCTCGACAAACCCAGAACCATCCCCATTCCATGAGGGTTGCCAACAAAGACGACCACAAAGAAGATGCATGCTGTTGTGACGTGTTGTAACCTCGCTGATGCCAATTCTGGACGATCCAGTAGCCCCAGCGACACGCCAAATCTGCAGCAGCATCACGGGATTGATCCAATGACCTCCCAGCCCCAAGGAGACTTGTGAACTTCACAACCCCGTCCACCCTACCTTCCATGACGACCCAGGTGCCTTGACGTGGCTCGGTGCAGGTGCATCACCCAAGCCTTGGGATGGCAGGGTGGAAAGGGATCATGGTTGGACCCAGGTGTACATCACTTCGGCCATTTCTGGCCATTTCTGGTGGTTTTCATCACCCAAGCCCAACCCGACGGTCTGCGACGGTTCCGCGTTTTCGAAAGACCGGTCTTATGGTTCGTTCCCGAGACGCCTTCGGATTTCGACGTCCACCTCCGGCGACGGGTCCGACTTGGCCGAGCCGAGCGGCCCAGCGGTGGGCGGCCTGGCTCGAATCGGTCGAGCCGGTCGTGGCGCGCCCGCCCAAACCACTGAACTGACAGCGGTCGTGGGCGACGCGTCGGCGTGTGGTCTGGGCCTGGTGCCTTGACTGGAGCCTTGCAGGACCCTCCGGCAGCCTTGGACGTCCAGCTCGCACCAGACGTGCTTCGGGCAGCAGTTGGTGGATTTCATTGGTCGGGCGGACAAGGATACTTCCATCGATTTGTCATCACTCTGATGGGTAGAATGCGGTAGAATGTGGTAGAAAAGTTCTGACAAGAACATGTACCAGGACCACGCAAGAGGTGTCTATAAATACAGGAACCTCTTCGAGGTTCAGGGGTGTCCAAAAACCACCTGTTGGAAGGTCCTGGTACATACAATATGCACACAGTCATGCACATATATCATCCCTAGCTCTCTAGCCTTCCAAGACCATTTGAAATTGGTCTTGGCATGTCTGGCTTTTGTAGTGTAAATTCCTTGAAGTCAATCAAGGGTTGATCGGTAAGAGCCAAGAAAGGGATGGTGGTTGGAATCCTAGGGTCATAAATCCCATCGGAGACCAGTCCGACGATCGACGATCTTTGGCACCAAGTGAAGGTTAACAAATAAGGAGATTTGGTCTCATTTGAGAGTCATCCATTCACGTTCAAGGGTTGGTGTTGTTTTGGTGCACATGGTTACATCCGCCAATTGAGCCGTGAAGCTCAAAAAAAGGGATGATCTAGAAATGGATGAGATATGGATCCTCGTCGCTTAGCGTGCCCTGCTTGCATACCAGAGAAGTAAACCAAGAAATCATATTCATATATATATATATATTCATAACAAAATGTGTTGCGATGCCATGGTGAGTATTGCAAATAGGACACTAGAATCTTTCCTGGGACCTAGGTTCTTTCGTGGCTGCACACCATCAGTACCTTCATCTAGTTCATCATTATCACTTGCAAAGGCAGTGGCCAAGGCAGTTTCCAAAGGAAAAGCGCCGTCGGTCGCAGTAGCTGTTTCCAAAGGAACCGCAGTTACTACTTTGCCTGCACCTCGAGGAGCCGCTACTACCTTGCTTGCACCTGGAACCATCGGATCCGGGGGGGCGCCAGTCGTGAATTTTTCTTTGAAGTCCATAGTGAGGTTTCAGGAGGACAATGCACTACATAGAGAGGTCAGGGCTCCACAACCCAAGTCATTGAGATCGCGACCCAACTATGATGGGCGCAAAAGGAAATTTTTTATGATTCAGCCCGCTGAGAGGAGACAGCAGCCAGGCTTTTCAGGGTGGTTTGTGAATATTGTTTTGAGAATATTGAGATTCAATGTGTTGCACTCTCCGGATTGATCATCATGATGTTCATTAATTTTCAAGGCAATCCGTCAACGGCAAAAGCCTTGATCGAGTTCGAGCAGTTCTGGGATCGATTTCTTGCCGCTGCAAATCTGGACAATGTTTTGTCAAATTTAGAGATTTGTTTGACGACTTGGTCCAGTACTTGAACATCTTCTGGGGATTGAGCAAAACACAGCAAGACAAATATGTTCCCTGGTGTTGCAAACAAGTCGATACATTCATGAAGTCAGTAGTGTATACTCTTAACTTGTAATCAGATCTTGCAGCGAACTAAGATTTTCTGGCTGGTCCGGGATGCGCGCGGCTTGCCACGAAAGCAGTGGAAGATCTTGGGCCAGGAGATGTCCCTCAAGTGCTTGGCCACCCTCCTTGGGGTCGGGAACAACCGTTTAGTTTCGGCTTCGCGGGGGGGGCATTGACAGAAGATTCAACTTTGGAGTGGCACTTTGACTATTTATTGTTTGATGGTCTTTGAAGATTTTTGAATATCTCTGAATCCAGAATCTAAATAAAATGGTGAGGGCTGAATCTTTAGCAACGAAGGCAAAGCAGCGCTATGCCAAGAAGAGAATGACTGTGGACATGTATTTGATGGGGCTGTATCAAGATGCAGCTGGCATGTTGCCGACGAAGCCTTTTGGCTAAGATTTAGTAGATGGTTCAGCGATGGGTCTTAAATGTCAGAATCGGTGCTATCGGTCTTAGGTTTCAACGAGGGGGGATGAAGAGGAGTGATGCTTCATCGCAAAGCAAGATGGTAGTGACCCTGGGGCCCGCAGAGCAGCCACATGACAGCGACCATGAATCATGCAACTTGCCTGACTTTACTATCTCGTTGAATGGATATACCTTTCCTACCAATGCCATAGACTTGACCTCCGAGTATGTCATTTGCCAGAGGTTCGGAGGACGAGTATGATGATGACTTCATGGTCGACGGCGAGCGGTTGGAGGATGATGAAGCATTGAAGCTTCACATTTTGGGTTCTCAATCAGTGTATGGCAGGCAGGATGGCATAGCTTCATGAACCCATGAAGCATGGCCTTGATGCAGGTATGTGGAGAGCAACTTTGGACAATCCATAGCTCGGCTTCCCACACGATACATGCCACCTGGTAGTATCCGAATGTTATGGGAGGCTTTCCACCGTGTCCATCAAGATGTGTCGAGCTTTGGCTGAATACTTCTTTTGCATCCAGAGTGTGATCTGATCTAGGAAAGCTCCACTAGCAGCAGAATGGTTTGTGAGTGGACGAGAGATTTTAGAAGCCTGTCAGGTACAATACATTTTGGCATCGGTACAAATCCAGTTGGTCAAACACCCTACGATTTTTACCAGCCAGCACGCACGGAGTGTGCGACACATGCCTTGATGCGAAGACCAGCCTGAAGGTGGCGAGTGACATTTAGCAAAATAACCGATGTGGGCAAGTGAAACATGTTGTTGCGTAGTTAAACAGGCTGGTCATAAGATCAGATTCATGTGAAAACCGAGGATATGCAAACACGGTATGACATCACTCGCTCATACCAATTGCACTTAGATGCAGTTGCCCAAGACCGGCACTTGGAAAATTGGCTGGAGGAGAGCTTCAGTGATTTGCCTTTCACTTGAAACCAAAAGAGTTTGCAGCGGATCAGTCTTAGAGATCTTTGAATTGATTGCTGCAGACCCAATCACCATTGGAAGACAAGAAAGCAGCATTATCGATTCACTGGGAATCTCAGGTTGCACTTGGTCAACTCCTGAATGACAGATTGAAGACAGTATGACCTCATTGAATGATCTGGTGTCATCTGAGGACGGAATGGACCAGGCGAAATGGGCACTCCCAAGGCATCGTGAGCTGCTTCAATCCAAGGAGACACAGGGCATGATCCGACCGCGGATCAAACTTCATTGTGTTTGGAGTCACAACATTGCCCTTGACGTGTTCTTGGTTCATCCACTGGTATCGGCCGACAGTTCGTTGATTCTTGAATGCTTCTCAATTGTCCTTGAGCAAATATCAGCACTGTTCACTTCGAAGCAGCGGCCCATGCCAGAAAGTTGTATCATTTGGGTTTCTTGGTTGCTTAGAGTGATGCTTCGTGGAAAGGTTGAGGTTGATTAATATTATTGACTTAATCAGTAGATGCTTTTTTGTCTAGGCAGACAATACGGTGAGGGAGAACAAGAACAATTATTGCTTCAAGCACCTATCGATGTTGGTCATGAAGCATTGCTTCAAAATGTCATCAATATTTTTCAGCAGAGTGGGTCACACCCACGCTGCACTGGGTGTCTTGATGTTGAATCAGTTTGATGTTGAATCACTTTCAGTTTTGGGTGTCTTGAACCAGTTTTTTGGGAAACCATTTGTTGGCTCGCTGGCATTTCCGAGACCAACTATTCGGACTAATAGCTGCTGCGATGAGATACTGCGACATCATCATGGACGTTGACGATTTAATCGTGACACCTGTCACTAAGTGGGCGGAAGTTTCAAAAGCTGCCATTTTGAGGAAAGAAAAAACAATAAAACCTCTGTGTACCCAGCCAAACCCCAGGAAGTTGCGGCATATACTTGACCGAATAAAAATTCGGAAGTGGATCGGCAACGCAGCTATAAACATCCACTACATCCGGTCTACACGTGATTGGAAAACATGGTGCCTTGTCGAACTCACTGCCTACCCCCAGAGCTCAGCGCAAGCTTTTGTCTCCGTGGGCTGTCATGTCAGGTATGACCAGCTGCCAGTGACCTTCAAAGGCGGCATGAAAGATGATGCGAACAGTTTCCATGCGTGGATGTTCCTTCGAAGGGCAGGCGGGATTACATAATCCAACTAGTCACTAGTCTTGTGGGTACACTGAAACGGCAGAAACTCTGTGAGAATCTGCTACATGCCCCTGATAGATGTGCCCCGGACCTTGCGCATCAGCTGTGACTACAAGGGGGCCCTGCCATTGCAAGAACATGTCCGAGATGTAATTGCACTTATAAAGCGCAATGCATCTGACGAGTCTCTAGCACAGGACTGCACAAGCTGGATTTGAACAACTTGTAGATGGCTGGTCCTTTATACAATCCGACTAAAACCAATTGACTCCGTATAATACGATGTTGACCAGGAGCTGGTTCTCGCTCTCCCTTATCAGTTGGCAGCTCCCTTCCTCGGTGTTGTCCCGACAGTGCCCCGGCCTCTGAAGATGCCAGTGTTTCAGAAGGCCAAGGACTATCTTGACCTGGCCAATGTTCTGGTGACTCGGTTTGCCTCAGACAGTGGGGGTAGGGCTGCCGAGTTCTTGATCGGGATTTGCAACAGTAGCAGGGAGCCGCCTGCGCCGCTCCATGAAATACGATTCTTTTTGGAGGGTGGGACGGTGGAGGAGATCCACGTGGGAAGGCCTCCCCTTGTGATGGGGAAGGTGGCACCGCTTGTGAAATTTCAAGCGGTTTTGCGCTAACGCGCTTCGATGTTTGCACAAGACCAAAAACTTACTTCTGATCATATCCGATGTACACTCTTTGCTTTGATCGACTGTGAAGTCTTGTCCACACATGTGTGCACATGTGCAACCTCTCTTTGCAGCTTTTGTTCTGAAGGCTCTTCACAATAACTAGTTGTAGTCTTTAGTTTCTCTGGAACCAGTTGGTAGTTAGTATGCTGCAAAGATTCAGCCCGGATGCAAAAGCACTACGAGCCTCCTTTAGGCCTTGAAAGTCTTATATATGTTCTTTCAGTCCTCAACAACAACTTTTGCCTGGTAGGCGTATGAATGCTCAGGCTTGGTCTGATTCTCTGTACCTAAACGCCAGTCAGTCG